CGAGGTAAGCGCGTCAGAGTGTGCTCTGTCAGCCGCAGCCCTGACTTCTCCACGGTTACAACCGAGGGAGAGGTGAGTGAGGCGCAGCGGCTGCTAACCAGAAAGCCAGTCAGGGACAGTGAGATGGAACAGTGTTGTTGTTGGACGACAGCGCGTGTATACATCGGAGCTCCGCCCACTGTACCCATAGAGTGCAGTAGAGGGCGGAGCCTGTGAGAGATATAACGAGGGGTTACGTATGGTAACCCTTGTTATATAAGCACAGGCGGAGCCCTCTACTCAGGGCCCTGTCTGTCCTATGCTGCTTGCTGAAGAGAAGTGTAGGATGACAGTCAGGAGGCGAGGCCTCCTTTTATGCGGTGAGATGCGCGCGCATTCAGGTAGGCCCGCCCCGGGGCCGGCTACGTCTATAGAAGTCTCAGTGGATAAATGCTTGCATGATATGATCAAGGGGAGTACCCATAGAGTCCAGTAGAGAGCTTCGCCTGTGCTTATATAACAAGGGTTATATAGCAAAATAATGCCATACGTAACCCCTCGTTCTTTCACACCAAACTCATCCAACCATGCCTTTATGGACCTTGCTTTGTGGGGCACTGTCATGCTGGAACAGAAAAGGGCCTTCCCCAAACTGTTTCCACAATGTTGGAAGCATAGAATGGTCCAAAATGACTTGGTAAGATGAAGCATTAAGAATCTCCTTCACTGGAACTAAGGGGCCGAGGCCAACCCCAGAAAAACAACCCATAGCATTATCCCTCCTCCACCAAACTTTACAGTCGGCACAATGCAGTCAGGCAGGTAACGTTCTCCTGGCATTCGCCAAACCCAGACTCGTCCATCAGACTGCGAGATAGAGAAGCGTGATTGGTCACTCCCCAGAACACGTTTCCTCTGCTCCAGAGTACAGTGCTTTACACCCCTCCATCTGACGCTTGGCATTGTGCTTGGTGATGCAAGGCTTGATGCAGCTGCTCGGCCATGAAAACCCATGAAGCTCCACAGTTTGGTGCTGATATTAATGCCAGAGCTGGAACTCTGCAGCTATTGAGTCAGCAGAGCTTTGGCCACTTTTACGCACTCTGCTCCTCAGCACAACTGTGGCAATGGGCAGTGGCGACTGGTCATTAGGGGCAGTTGGGGCACAGCCCCACCTAGTGTCAGCAGAAAGTATTACAAATAATGATTACAAAAAAATAGAAATATATTTTAAGATCATGTTTAATCATCTGATTCGTCTGTATATTGCTGTTTTAGTCTGTGTTCTTCTAATTAGTGTCTACAGTGCCGTTTTGAGCCATGTGGGACAAAATCCGATCATGCCCCTCCCTCTCACTGTCTAAGTGAACGGTGACTGTAAAAACTACACTGCGCATGCTCAGAGTATTTTTCAATTTAATGTGTGTGGCAAAAAAATAATGACCATAGGGGCACTGAGCTGCCATCCCCACCATACGTCATCTCACATAATTCAGAGCTGATTGGCTGTAAGTACGTGTGCCGCGAAAAGTGTGGTGTGTGAAGAGGAGACGAGAGAGGTGCAGTGACAAGTCCTAAAACCCGGAAGTAAGCTGCGCATGGCTTCCCTCGACAAAAAAGCAAGGAGATTTTTCCATAGGATTTTAGAAAATAGCTCGAAATAAGATCTGTGGGAAACGTACCTGTTAAGGCCCAGACACACCAGGCCGATATCGGCCGTCTTCGGTTGTCTGGCGACAAAGCGTGCCCTGTCGCCCAAAGTCAATTTGGTGTGTCCCGAACCCTCGGCCGTGACACGCCTTATTTGGCCTTTCACGGTCGACACATGGCCGATGTTGAATCGGCCATTTGTCGGACACAAGCTATCGGGCCAAGAAACCACTCTGATCAGCTGTTCAGCTAGCAAATGAGAAGCGAAACGGAAGTGAGGGACGTAAACAAACGATTTAAGAAGGCACAGGACAGCAGCTAAACCCCAGCAGGTGATACTTAAAGACATCAAACATAGCCCTTAAATGTCCTCTCTTACCTCCCACACATAGCAGGGACATCTCTGATATCGGCGGGAGTGTCCCCGGCTGTCCTCTGCTGAGAGCTCCGTGATTTGTTTGGTCAAGTCCGGTTTTTCATCTCATCGGTTTATTTGTCAGTATAAAGTTGCAGGATTAGTCTCAAGTACCTCAACATTGTCCTTAAGTACAGTGTCTAAGTAAATGAGATACTGTCTACTGCTGTTCATTTACCTATTGTGAGTCGCCTCGGATAAAAGCATCACATGGAAATGTAAATTTAGCAAGAAGTGGCCATTATTACATTACATACAGTACATTACTACATTGCTGACTCAATGAACTACACACCCGCCAGAACACTGCGATCATCAGATGCAGGTCTATTAACTGTGATTTTATAGTATGTCTGCACTTTATGTGCTCATTTCATCATTCATGTATTTTTATATTCTAAAACATGTTTTCGATGGACGAGAGTGAAAATGGAACGCACACGCTATTTGTTGTTTGTTTATATCAGTCTGTTCTTCTTCTCTGTCTTCCGGTTGTTGCCTCTTTTGAATGACGAATACACACTACCGCCGCCTGCTGGTAAGGAGAGTTATTGCCACTCACGCATGCGCAGTTCGTACGTGGTCGGCTGAAGTCTTTGTGGTGTGTTCCAGTGCGACACATGGCCAAGACGCAGGAGAACTCGTCGATGGAACTGTCGGTGTCTGTGTCGGCGAGTTCTCTGGTGACTGCCTGGTGTGTCTGGGCCTTTAGATAAATGCACGTTTTGTTCAGCCGGATAATATCCACATGTCTACCCTACTTTTATAATTTTCTAATCATAAATCTATCGATTAGATTTATGATAGACTTTTGAAACTACAAGAAGATAAGGAGGACTTTTACAAAAAAGTAATAGATTTTTGTCCAGGAGGATAGGCAAATTGACTTCATCTTCAAGTCAAGGGAAGACCACAATCTTATTGAAAATGGGATCTTACTAAGAGAGAACAATTCAATATTTACATGATAAAATTACATTTTTTGGGTATCTTTTTGTTGAACGGTCTGTTTAAAATTAATCGAAGCATCAGACAAAAAAAGCTTTTGAAAATATTATATTTTGATTTTGGTCAAAATATATTTGTAAACCTGAAGAGTCAGTACCAGTGCCTCAGCAGCCATGAACCTCACTGCACGTCACTGCAGAAGCTTATATATAGACATCTACGTTTTTTGTGCCCCACCACTTTTGTACATATAAAAACGCCACTGGCAATGGGACTGAATGAAACCTGAATTCAATGATGAAGAGGAGTGTCCTACTTTTGTCTGGTGTATTGTAATTGATATATGTACTGTATGGCACTACCATTATCTATAATTGGGAGAATCAATGTTTTAAAAATTCACTTTATTTCAAAATATTCCCCTGCCAACTCCATTAAATGTTTTCTCAAAAATTCAAAAGAAAATGGTTAAATTAATATGGAATACTATGAGGTCAGGACTTCCTTTGTCTTTACTGTATTGACCATATGATGGAGGAGGTTTAGTGTCCACATGTCATTTGGTATTACTGGGCTGTGCAACTGAGAACTATGTTCTATTTTTCTAAAAGGAGTCTCCTCATTGGACTGAAATTGAATCTCATTGTTTGAAACGACCTCTTCCATTATACATGTATTCAGATATCGAAAGAAAACTTAAAGGTAGGGTAGGTAAGTTTGAGAAACCGGCTCGAGATACACTTTTTGTTATATTCCATGGAATGCTCTTAAGATCCCGATAGCAATGAATATCTGAAGTGCTTTGACAAAAAAATCCATACAAAAATATCATCTGTGGAAGCCGTAGTACTGTAAAAAGCACGACCAATCATTTTAGCCGGCCCGGCTAAAATAACTGGATAGCCTACCTGCCTGTCAGCCTTCTGTGTGTTGGAGGAGGGGCTCTGTAAGGAAGTGGCAGATTTTTTCCAGCTGTGTATTTTCAAATTTTAGCGCACTCGAGCCGGTTTCTCCAAAATTACCTACCCCACCTTTAAGCAAACAAACAAAAATCTAATTTTAAAACCCATGATAAAGATCTGGTATGATGTGAAAACATATTTAAAATTCTAATTGAAGAGGAACAAAGGTACTACTATTGTTTTGTGTATGCAATGACTGGCTGGCACCATGCAGTTCACATTTAGAGACATTCTGATCACTATATACAGAGATATGATGCAGTAAACATAAAGCTGTGTGCAATTAAGAGTCATGTACAATATGCCCTCGTGCAATTTACACCTTATTTTCTTACAATTTATTTACAATCTGTCAACAGTACCAGCTACTCCTATATTTTTAAATGGTCACTAAATTTTTTTTTTTACAATGCTCTACTTAGTTTGTTTTTCGTTATTAAAAACGTCGGCCTACTTTTTCAATATAATATGCAAGTCAACTTTTTTCCTTAATCTGCACTATACCTTTGCTAATGTAATACCGGACCACTTTTTTTAGAGGCCTACATATTTACTACTTTTGTTTATGAACAATATCCAAACTCATTTTGCAGTAAAATCTTTCTACAGTATATTCCAGGAACTAGACAATTTATGCAATGTTTAAAGTTGTACAAAAATGTGTGTAACCTCAGGTTGGGCAATCTTACAAACAGTTCCTCTACTAATGTAGCATTCTGCAATGAAAAAACTGAAATGTTGACTTAAATGTCAACATTATTAAATGTATTACTCATAACTGTATTAGGTTAGTTGAAAGCAATAATATTAAGTTGAACCTAACCTTTTTATTTAAGCTTAAAAGTATTGCTTTTAACTAACCTAATACAATTATGTTAAATCTGTTGACATAAATTTATTAAAGTCAAAGTTTATTTTTGTGTGTGTTTGGTCACAACCGCGAACAAGTATGCAGTTAGTGATCTGAGAAGAGCGAACTCCCAGTGACGTTCACTTTGTGTCAGAGCTCTAACCGTGTGAACAGACGCAGTGAAGGAGTGATAACGCACAGTTTACTCAAACAGTTTATTGATTGTGCACAGTTCTTACTGCCAGCCATCTTCAACATGTTTCTCTTAAAATCGTAAATGAAAAATCTATAATACATATTCAAACTGACACTAATCTAGATCAACATGAGAATCTGGAACCTTGAAATGAAGAGACAATACAAGAGGAGGGGAATGATACATTCAGTGAAGATTTCCAAAGCCACATTCAGGTATTCAGGTTGGCTGTGTCCATGGTCTGCAGGTGTTTCTAGAAGAGAGAGAACAGGGAAGCAGGATTAGACCTTCAACGTTTGGCTGTTGGAGCTATTAACACTGCGAGTGTCCATTTGTTCTTCTTTACAGCCAACCAGAGTCATTGTACACCTCCAGGCTAGGTTGTTTTCTCTTTTGTGCCATTAAATCTGAACAACTGCTTTGGTGCCTCTACATCGAAGTACTTCTTCCACCTCTGACCGTGAGGAACAAGGTTTTTACAGAGTGAGGACATTTGGTCCTCTTGAAAGGTTTATCATGGAGTGGTAAAGAGTCTAAAACCTGGAAAATACTTATCATTTTAGCACTTCACGTTCCATCGTCTTGAAGTTTTTAGGAAAGTGTGTGGTTAACACGAGCTTAAGAAAATGGGCACGTTTTGTTCTATGACATAAAGCACGCCAATAGATGCTTCACTCCTGCATGTCCGAAGCTTATTAAAAACAAACAATTAGCTAAATGAGCTTCCTAAACGTCATCACAGCAACACAATCCGCCTTTACCTGATATGCAGCCATGTGACCGTTTGTTTTTAGCCTAGCGTTAGCTTTTTAATTCAGGTAAATTGTATTTGAGATTATCCTGCTGAACAAAACGTGTTGCGCATCATAAACGTGTGTTAACCACAGAGCATATTTTCTGCAATATACCGGAATCCAGAGGGGAACTCTCATAGCTTTTTGTTGAAGGAGCCCTGCGATGCTAACTGTCAGGTCTGGTCTTCAAACAGACGTCATCACTGCACTCTATTATGGCGCACTTCCACTACAGCGCGGAGCGCGGTTTAAGCGTGCCGAGCCGTGCGGGGCCCGTTTTTGGTTGCGTTTCCACTTGGCGTAGTTCCGGCTAGTGGGTACTATTTCACAGTTTTTCTGGCCCCATAAAATCGAGGTTCTTTCCGGGCCAACAACCAGGCTGAGTCGGGCTGAGTATGCTAAACTAGAGAGAGAATCGCTGGCAAGCGGGCTACAACTACAACAAAATGAACATATTTGACCGTGATTTAATTGTAATACACGTTTCAAAATGATGCCGAAGTAACAACATACTGATACCGGTTAGTAAAAACCATGAATTAATGCTTTGACAAGTCTGCAGACAGACGGCAGGCGAAAAACCTTTTAAAATGCGTGTTTTCTAAATGGAGATCGGCTAAGCTAGCGCAGTATATGCTCCGACCGTCCACAGTCACAACAACGGCCTATACAGACATAAATAAAGCAGCGACTGTATTCACCATGACACAGGCAGTCTGTGGTTTGTACTTGTTTAACTTTTGTCTAGTTTCTGAACATATATGAGGAGCTGTGAGCTCTGAGTGCTAACAGCTAACGGCTGATGTTGGTTTTGTGTTTCTCATTGAAGATGACGTCACGGCTCCGCCTACACTGCGTTACTATAGATACTGCCCCAGCTACTGAACTGTAATGGAAATGCGCCACAAAGTGAGCCAGTCCTAACAAGGCCTAGCCATACCGAGCGAGGCCGTGTAGTGGAAATGCGCCATTAGACTGAGTTTAGAGAAAGGCTAAGGGTTGGGATTAATTGTGATTAGTATGGATGCAATATGTCCTGAGGGTCCTCACCACGAAACCACCACAGGTATGTGTGTGTGCATGTTGCCTACCTGCAGGCTCTCGTAGTGTTTGAGGGTCTTGCAGTGGTTTATCTCTGCCTCTTTGGTTCCGTTGAAGAACCTGTTACACACCTTACAGAAGAAACCCGTCTTTGGGGTCAAGAACTCCATACCTGTGGGAGCACACACAGGCAAAAAGCTGATGAACACTTTTGTAGAAATATAATGGCAGGCATGGTAAATAAATACAGACATGGGTCTTACCAACTGGGCTCGTGGGGTCAAAGGGAGGGAGGGAGTAGCCTGTGCTCATGGCAGTGTCCATCTTTGTTTTCTTATTCACACTCTCCTCTGCTGTGTTTTCAACTTCAGACATCTCGTGCTTTCCTGAAGAAAGAAAGAGAGAGAGAGATCTTATTCATCTGGTTCCAGGACCTCGTGCTGCTTTACTCTGCATCCATCCTAGCAGCTACATAGCACACAGATTAAGCACCATCCCAGATGAGGACAATTAGGACCGTAAGCATTACAATAATAAATATAGGCGCTTCCAATACAACCCTCTGCTTGTTAAATACATCTACATGTTGTCCACACGTTCAAGATGTCCCGGTAACAAGCCTGAGTCTCTACCCACTAAGGCCCTGCTGCCACTCACATGTTCTAATACACCGCTGCTTCTCAAACGGTTGGCTACAATACGTCAGCTCCCTCTAGTGGGACTTTGCGGAATCCCTGAAATATTTTTAAAGGAAACGATTATTTAAAAAAAGATATATTATATAAAAGACTAAATATTGAGATCATAGAATTTAAAATAGAGTATTAAAATACATTTGTTTTAACTTTCCCACGATATTTCTATTTCAGCATGCTTAGAAACCTTGTTCATAAATGTAGCTTGCCTCATTTTCAGTCAGAGATTGGTTTACGAGCTTAAATAGTAGACAGAGGTCAAATGAATTTGAATTTAATGGCAAACAAGTCATCTGAAAAGGTGCAGATCCAGAGGAGAATATTTTGACGGCCCTTTTAACTCCACTGCTAGAGTCTATTTAACAGTGGTGTGACGATTTCAATACTGAATAGAAAATCATTTAAAATCAGATTTTGATCTTCAGAATCAAAAGCGGGATCGGCAAGTCTCTCATTATTTGTTTAACACCCCCTTATTTGAACGTTTCTGAAAATAACTATACAATAACTATCACATCGACTGTGTTTTACCAAAGCCTTCAGCGGCGCTTTCCTAGACACCATGGCCACATCTACTGTGTCTTTAACAGAACAACTACACTTGGTGGCTTTTGCAGGTGTCAATGTGCTGTGTTTAAGTATTCATTATAAAAAAAAGAATTGGAAACTTATATGGCTTGCTACATTTCCAAAAACATATATGGGATGTATTAGTTTGAGAACATGTACCTTATATTTTTTGAATGGTAATGACAGTTGTCCTCTTTCAAATCACCTGTAGTTATTTAAAAAGCAGCACTCGAACATTGACATAACCGCCAGGTGTGAATTTGATTTTGATTCCAACAGATTTTCCAATTTGTCACTAAGCGATTTATAATTGAAAGTGGAATCATGCCATCTCTACTATTAAAGCAGCACCAGTGAACCCTCCACAACACTGCAAATGTTTCAAAACCGTAGGGAGAGTTACCTCATGTTTGGATTTAGCTCAACAGGGTAGTCATGTATTTCACGTTTGTCCTGAGGTGGTAAATCTAATCTTTTTGGAGATGACACAACTGAAGGAAACCCTACCTGTCTCAACAGCAGGAGCCCCCGTCTCTTCGTCCTTTATCTTCTCCTGCTCCTCTGTTGTTTCTTGTTCATCATTCATCTTCTCCTGATTCTCTGCGTTGCCCTCTTCATCCTTCAGCTTGTCATGTTCCTTTATCTTTTCAGTTTTATCCTTTATCTTCTCCTCTTCATCCTTAACCGTCTCCTCTTCCTCAGTTTTTGCCGACACCTTGTCCTCTTTCTCCTCTCTTTCACTCTCTGAAGTCATTGTTCCTGTTGCTGGTTCATGTGTTGAGGACTGGGCTGCAGGAAGCACTTCACCCTCAGTGTTGGAGTCCAGAGTGGCTTCTAAACAATAACAACACATTTCAGCCAAAATGATCAACAATGTTAAACAATCAAAGATCTGAAGGTGCGTTGACACCGGACGCGAAGCACATTTTTGCATTAATTCACTTGCGCGAGTTTGGCTGGGGTGTTCATTTGTGTTTACTCGCGTCAATCAAGCTAGACACACTGGCGAGGAGGCGGGGCTTATCTCCATGTAGATACCATGGTAGATACCAACAAAAAAAGGCACATTGTAATACATGTTTCAAAATGATGCCGAAATAACTACATACTTATACTGGATAGTTAAAAACATGAATTAATGCTTTGGTGAGTGTGTCTGCAAAACTGCAGACACAAAACTTTGAAAATAAGTGATTTCTGAATGGAGATAAGATCGATCAGGCTAGGCTAAGCTAGTCTAGTTTCGGAACAGATATGAGGAACTGTGAGCTCGGTGTACCGTCGCCCAGAGCAAACAGCTACTGTTTTGGTTTGGTTTTCTGATTCAATAAAGTCAGTAACGAGAGGCTGAGATTTTCCCCGCTAATTGGCTTTCACAAGACAGCGTTACGCAAATCTATCGCTCCTTTGCGCCCGGTGTGAACGCACCTTAAGAGGCTGTTTCCTTCTCTTCATTAAAAAGGTGAAATCAGTGTGAGGCTGTACCTGTGTCAGGAGTGATGTCAGCCTGTTGACATGTCGGCACGTGTGTTTGTGAATCTGCTGATTCTGAAGACACTAAACCATCTGAAGTCTCAGCTGTCACCATGGTCACAGCTTCACACTCTGATGCGTGCTCTTCAGGCCGGGGCCCCGGGGTCTCAGACATCATTGTTTCTGCTGTGACCTCCATGGGCGTGTCCTACAAACAGAAAACATGGAGAGGACCATGTTGTCATTGCATTGTGGAAATGGAAGTGAGATGTTTGATGTATTCATAAAATATATCCTGTAAACAAGACACTAAAAAGATGTCAAACTGACTATTCTTGTAATTTCTGTAATTAACATGAAGAAGCAATTTGTAATTTATTTTATCACTCTTTTACTCTGAAATGTTCATGTCTGATTTTTTCTTTTATTTGTATCACTATTAATCTTTATATCTCTTCCTACGTATTATTTTACTCCTCATGTCAATATTTTGTGTGAAAATAATGTTTGATGTACATCAAACATTATATGTATTTTCTTGAATAAAGGGGGGGGGAGGGAAGTTTGATGTATTAATACTTTACCTCTGGAGTGTCCTGCAGGACAGATGTGGGAGCAGCCTGCAGGACAGATGTGGGAGCAGCCTGTCCCCCCCCTGCTGTTTCAGTGGGACCAGAGGGAGGAGAGGAAGGAAGGTCTGCCACATCTCCAACTTCATCCAGCGTCACAAAGTCACTCATGTTGAAGGGGAAGTCGTCACGCTCCTCCTCCTCCTGAGTTTATGACGGGACAATAAATAAAATAAGCAGTAGAAGTGAGGAAGAGGATGAAGAGGAAAGAGTTCCAACACGTCTTCAGCTCACAGCCGCATCTTACCGTTCTGTTCTTCTGTTCCTCCCTCCAGGAGCTCTGCTTGTACCCCCCTGATCTTCCATAGGACCTTGACCCCTCCCCGTGCGCTCTCTTCCTGTCCCTTCTGTCTCTCTCCTTCCTCTCCCACCTGGCTCTGTCCTCCCTCTCCCTCCTGGCCCTCTCCTCCTTCTCCCGCCTGGCCCTCTCCTCCTTTTCCAAGGCCCTTCTCTCCCTGTCCTTCCTCTCTCTCTCCCTCACCTCTTTCTCCTTCCTGGCCTCCCTCTCTTTTCTCTCCCTCTCCTGCATCTTCCCCCCCTCCTCTGTGTTGTTGTTGGCGGGCTCTGTTGTCTCCTCAGCTGTTTTCTCCCCCTGCTCTGTCTCCGTCTGGGTTTCCCTTGGTTCTCCGTTAGCGGCTGCTCTGTTGTTGGGATGGTGAGTTCTGCACTCCACAAGCAGTGCGTTAACCATCGCTTGAGTAACCTGATAACAAAAAAAAAGGTGGATTATTATTATTATTATATATATTATTTTTTTTGTACAATGGAACTGAAACTGAAATATAAACTAAGTTATAAAATAAGATGTTGGAGGATTGAGACCTGAGCTACAGAAATAGATCTGACCTTAGGGAGCTCGGGCAGGGCCGTCTCCTGGGAAGCTGCTTTCCCCTCAGAGATGGATGGCTTTCTTCCTTCATCAGCAGGAGTCACATCATCTCCTGCTGGGGATGCAGTGACGTCCATGTTCTCTTCCGAGGCCTCCAGGACAGTTTCAGCTGAATCATCCCTGGCGTCTGTCGCCTGGCCTGCTTCCGGTTGGGCCTCCGGTTGGGCTTCCGGTTGGGCTTCCGGTTGGGCCTCCGGTTGGGCTTCCGGTTGGGCTTCCGGTTGGGCTTCCGGTTGGGCTTCCGGTTGGGCTTCCGGTTGGGCTTCCGGTTGGGCCTCCGGTTGGGCTTCCGGTTGGGCTTCCGGTTGGGCTTCCGGTTGGGCTTCCGGTTGGGCTTCCGGTTGGGCTTCCGGTTGGTGGGCCTCCGGTTGGGCCTCCAGTTGGGCCTCCGGTGCAGCCAGAGAGTCAGAAGCAGGAGCAGGAGGCTCGTCCTTTTGGATCTCATCGTCTTTACTCGACTCTTGTCCCACGACTTCACCTTCAACAGCTGTGTTTGTCTCCTCTTCCTGCCCGTGAGCGTCTCTTTCAATCACCTCCAATGGAGATTCAGAGCTCTCTTTATGGACCGACTCTTCTTCAGCTGTTTCCGCCTGGCTGCCTTTCACAGGTGTATTCTACAATCAAGGGGGAAAGAATAACGACACGTCAAACATCATGTCTTAGAAACTGTAAGTGTGTGAGGAGTACGGAACTTAGGCGCAGTGGTGGATCATAAATCAATTATTAGATAAACTTTCACATATCATTTTAGGTGAAGATATATTAAATTAGCTCTACAATCAACAGCAGTGATTAAAACAATGAATAATCATAATAGTGACCCAGTATCTCTATATATTTACGATTCTGAAATGGGCCATTACGCATATGGACTACTTTTACTTAAAGGGGACCTATCATGCAAAATGCACTTTTGTACGTCTTTTAAACATGAATATGTGTCCCCGGTGTTCCAGAGAACTCACCAAGTGTCAGAAAACACAACCCTCTCTATTTTCCTCCATACCCAAATCTCTAAAAACGGGGCTGCAACGGATCTGATAAAAACTGATGCAGATTTGAACACTTTCCTGACGTCAGGACGGTGGCGCTACGGCTATTGGGCCAACTCCACCAATCAGGAGGAGACAGCCACGGCCATTGCCGTTCGAAAGCGCTGGAGACGCTGTATTACATATGCCAGGTCTGTAGATGGTGCTGTTCTCACAGAATCAGCCCTTGCAAAAACAGAGCTAACATTTTTCAAATTGAGCGAAATGAGGCATGGCTAAAATGCATGATCTGTTTGGTATTTTGAAAAAAAAAAAGTATAAATATGCCTTATATAGGTATGGTCCTACACTATATTATTCAAATATAGCATGATAGGTCCACTTTAAGTAAGATTTTGAATGCAGGACTTTTACTTGTAACAAAGTGCTTTTAAAGTGTAGTATTGCTACTTTTACTAGCGTGGAAAATAGGAATAGAATAGAATAGGGAGGGATGAAACCCTCTTTAATGGTCACACATGCAGAGCACACAGCACACACAGTGAAATTTGGCCTCTGCATTTAACCCATCCTAGTACAAGGAGTCTAGTACTAGGAGCAGTGGGCAGCTATTGTACAGCGCCCGGGGAGCAATGGGAGTGGGGGGGAAGGGGGGTGTCCGGTGCCTTGCTCAAGGGCACCACGGCAGGGCAGGAGGTGAACTGGGACCTCTCCAAGTAGAAGTCCACACTCCATATTTAGGTCTGGTCGGGGACTTGAACCAGCGACCCTACGGCTCCCAGTCCAAGCCCCTACTGACTGAGCCACTGCCGGACTCTGACTGAGCCACTGCGGAGTACTTCCTCCGCCTCTGCTTTGGCGCGGCTCCAACCTAAGCAGCACGGTCTAACCTCTACCCGTTCCCAGTGAACCAGGCACAACCAAGCACCACTACTTGATCATTTGAACCTTATATTAAACATGAGAAGGCTACAAATATGATTTAAATGTATCCCAACACCAGTGGTGGAAAGTAACCAAGAACATTTACTCAAGCACTGTACTGAGGTACTTGGAATAGAATTGTGCCACTTTATACTTCTACTCCTCTACCATCAAAAGGGAAATATTCTCCTTTTACTTCACTACATTTATTTTACAACTTCACTTACTAGTGACTTTATGATTCAACTATCTGACATTATATTTTTGTACACCTAAAATATTGAGTGGGTTGACAGAAAATAAATTCAATACAATCAATTTAGCTAACTGTTGGTATCTTTGGACAGTTCTAGTTCTTTTTACATTTTATTTTATAATTTAGAGACTTTTTCTGCAATGAGTATTTTAACTTCAAATACTTTAATTTGCCGCTCTGTTGAAAAGAGTACAACAAAGTTTAAGTTACAAATATCTGTTACTAGCAGCATCACATACCCTCTCTCATGGATATGACAATATTAATGTTAAGCCTGGAAACTTTACAAATAATGAAACACTTAATCCTAAGTACTGCAGACTTTAAACTTGAACCAGCAATATCTACTTATCTTTGGTTACATATTAGCAGCTATATTTGATTACATAGACACATGTTCTAACAAAAAGCAGAAGCAAATAATATAAGGTATATAAAGTGTATTTGATAACTTTCACTCCTCTTCCTGTTACGTGTATCCACAACAATACATACAAAAGCTGCAGATACGTATGATAGCAGTCAAATGAAAACGTATCTAAATGAATTTCCCACAACTCTTTACAACCATTTAAAATGAAATATCAGTAACCCACCTCAGATGGATCATGGGATGCAGTGATGACTTTGGTCTGTGTGCGGGCTCTGGGGTCCGGCTTGCGGGAGAAGAACAGAGGGTTGTTCTGGATGATGCACGGAAAATTCCTGAAGCGTTTCAGAACAGACAACGCCATGGCTGCTGTTGCCATCTCGCAAATGACCTGAGCAGGGAGAGACAGATCGCTATGTCAACAACATCTGAGATGTGTTTGCCTGAATAAAGAATTGAGACAGAAAGATTGACCATAGCTGTAAGTGTTGGGGGGTACATGGTAATGGTGAGCACCCTCACCAGTTTGTTGAGCACTAGGGTCTTGATGACGGTCCCAAAGCGTCGCACCAGCTTCTGGACCTCGGAGCAGCCGGACGGCGTGTTGGGAACGTTTCTGATCACCAGCAGGCAGTTCCAGCCGACTGGAGCAAAACTCTCCTGCAGGACGCAGTCCAGTTAAAAACATACAGAACTCAAGGCCTCAGCTACTCCACTGCTTTTAAAGGTTTAAATGCCCAATTCATCACAGCCTTTACGGTGACATAACGCAGCCACAACTTGATCAAATTTGTTCCTAAACATTTTTCATCATCAATGTTGTCTTTTTTTGCCCTACATAATTCTGAATAATCAATAACATGAATATTGTAAAGGTACTACATATAAAAACAAATGTCATTTAGATGACTTATTATTTAAACGGATAATAAAAATGAATTGGACAGATCTATACTGGATGAAATACTCACTAATGGGTCCACTGATCCCATCAGAAGATTGTAGAGAGCCACCTGTGTAAAGAGATGAAGAGTATTCATCTCTGTTAGTGCCGAATGTTTCCTGTTCCACACAGTATCATACCAAAGGAGGTGAGATAACGGACAAAGAACAGAAGAGATAAGATGGTCATGTTATTGTAGAAGAAGATGGGATAAGTGATGGGAGCCCTACCGGTGTTCCGACACTGATCCGATGGTTGAGAGGGATCATCTTCAGCTCAGAGTCATTCATCCTGGCAGGAGTGAAGGAGTGGACTTTTACCATCTCTTGAGCAATCTCCATGTCTGGCACTGACACAATAACCTAACATGCACAAAGAATGTTTCATATTAGTTGTACGCACATCAACGTTTGTTACAAAAATAAAACAAATCATTTATTTGGACATTTCTATTACACAGCTTTGCAGCCAAAACAGAAAGTGAACTATTTTGCAAAAACAAGGTACTTAGAATGTGTTTTAGCTTCTTTTACTGCTATCCTGTTGTGTTTCTCCCCTCCGGGAAACAGCAAAAGCTTCAGATGAAACTGTGTCCAACCTTTCCGATGTGTGCTGCCTGGATGATGTCAGAGGGAGTTCCAAAGGGCTGCACCAGCTCAATGATGCTATTCTCTGACCAGCCGCTCTCAGGAAGTCCTGTGATCAACACCATGGCCTTCTGTAGCAGAGATGTATTGGAAGTTAAATGGGATGCTAAATGATTTAATACCATGATTTTATTATTACACAAAAAACCTGGATTGCCCATCCAGGTACAATAAGATACAATAAGGTAGAATGCGTCAGCTTGAGAATTTGTTTGACACTCAGCAGGAGATGAGCACACAATAATTATGTTATACAGGGTATGTGTGATCATGTACCTCATCAGACGTCTTCTTGTCAGACTCAGCTCCTGCAATAGAAAATGAGGGAGGAGATCGGGGGCCAAGAGCAGAGAGAGCTACATTAGAACAATTTCAAAAACCACAACCCCACTAATATGTGAACATGTGCATAGCCCTGTGGGACCACAATTCACAGGGGTCAGTTGCATTGTGAGCCAGGCAGCAGGTTGAGGGCGCGGACAGACAGATAGTGAGGGAGGTGGATTGCTACCACCTAGATATAGTTGGGCTAACCTCTATAAATAGGGTTAGGAACTACACTTCTGGAGATGGGCAGGGTTATTCATAAATGCCCTGGTAGCAGATTGTTCATTTACTTGGTGGTCGTATTATCAGAATTACGGCTGTATGTCAGTGACACTTGGCTGAGGGTGAACTTGGGAAGTGTGGCTGAGGCCATGTTTGTGAGGTTTCCAGGTCCAAAAACTGAGGAGGAGAACCAAAGGGGAACTCATGCTGCAGACATAACCTGCTCCAGATCAGGTTATGTTCAGAGTTTAGGCTTGAAATCAGCCAACTTCGCTGTTTACCAACTAGTTCCTTTTAGATAGCGTGCCTTTGTATTCAATCTATGAGGGGTAAATATTCTTAGCAGAATATATTATTATTATATTGCAGCTAATACAAAGCCGATTAGAAAATTGATATGTCTATTGTATCACAGATATAATTTAATCAATACATTTCATTAAAAAAAAAAGAGGACACTGTCCAACCACATATATGCAATTTTAAATATCTGTGGTTTGAATCTGCTGAATCAAGCTTATAGAATAAACCAGAGGCACAGATTGCATCGAGTGGTAAATTAAATACATTTCTCATGTATTTACAGATTAGTACATTTCTTCCAATAGTCATCTCCTTTTTGAAGTAACAGGTTGGCTTATGCTGTGTTTTAATTTGTTGTATTCTTATAAGGCAGCAATAGGCGGCTATCAACTCCTGTTCTGAAGTCTTTACACTGGTTCCTCACTAACACTAAGAAAGTGGATCACATCACTCCTGTTCTGAAGTCTTTACACTGGCTTCCTGTGTGTCAAAGAATAGATTTCAAAATACTGCTGCTGGTTTATAAAGCTTTGAATGGTTTAGGCCCAAAATACATTTCTGACCTCCTGCTAAATTATGAACCATCCAGAACTCTCAGGTCTTCAGGGACTGGTCAGCTTTCTGTCCCCAGAGTCAGAACTAAACATGGAGAAGTTCAGTTATTATGCTCCAAATATCTGGAACAAACTCCCAGAAACCTGAAGGTCCGCTGCAACTCTGACTACTTTTAAATCCAGGCTGAAGACTTTTCTTTTTGCCGCTGCTTTTAATTGAACTATTCATATCTTAAACTGCACTGTAACTTTTAACCATGTATTTTTTTTCTTTTAATGTTTATTTTATTATCTTTTCTTTTTAATGACTGATTTTAAATGTCTTTCATTTTTTGTAAAGCACTTTGAATTGCCTTGTGTTGAAAAGTGCTATATAAATAAACTTGCCTTGCCTTGCCTTGCATGCGGTTCATGACTCAAATGACGCACAAAACGCAGCTTTTTATGTGAACAAGCACAGAGCCTGAGGAGGAAAGCCTGGGTTCACAAAAACAGTTGATAACCACCTTCGTAGTACCACTTATCTATGAACAGGGGTTTTGGTTTTTAGCCAGCAGAGTGTAAGAAACCCTGGCTCTGTTGAACTCACTTCATAGTGTTAGAAGGATGTTTGTGCCTGACTTGGCTGCAAGTCAAGTACATGGTTTAGTACCTGCAGAATAAGCTACGGGATATATCAGCCATGACTTATTTTATTGGTGGATATTGAGTCTCTGCTTCTTGTCCTACCATAGTCTGGCCCAGCAGCACCACTGTCCGGTCCTGGAGCAGGTATGCTGTGAAGTCACAAATATAAATAGTTGAGTGAAACCAGAACACTTAGAAAATTGGTATGGTAACCATCTGGGGTTAATACGGGAAATGCTAAAGAAGATAGCTGTAACAAACCTGTTAGCTTCAGAAGGCCATACTATTTCAGGTTTCTAAAACATAGAAATAGAATGTGTTAACTGAAAGTGTGCATGAGATGACATACATGTGTCCAAAACAAAGGCTTCTTGGTGGAAGCTCTATGTTTTCCATGTATCACAAGGTTTAATGATAGATATGCCATTCATGTTTTATTATAAATATAATAATGTTTAATTATAATATTGTTATTGAAGGTACCTTTGCTGTTAAAGAAGTGATCTGTTGGTCTCTAATGGAGAGATGTGTGGAGTTGGCCAGAGCCAGGGCATCTTCAGCCCTCATCATGCAAACAGACGCCTGCAACAGGGGAATGTGACCATGTTATAAAGTGTGCACAACCTGAACAAATGGCCAAAATGGAAATATATATTTTTTGCTGGTATGTTATAGCCTTTTCTGTAATATTCACATAATTAATGAATGAACAAAAAACGTCTCTGTATAATTCCCTTAATAGCTCATTTCTTTCCAAATTACCAATAACCATTAAATACACATAAATATCACCTTCTGCCCTTCGTCCTTCTCGCTCTCTTCCTCAGAGCTTGGCATGAGGATCACGTTGTTGATCTTGCCGAAGGACCCCACCAGGTCAGTCACTTCCTGTTCAGATGCATCCTTTGGGATGCCAGTCAGATAAACCAGACACCCAAAACCCATTTTCTTCTTTTTCTTGGCTGGTGGAAGCTTGGCACACTGGAAACCAGCAAGAAAACACATTACATTTTAGAGACAAATGCATTAGACAAACCGGACAATATCAAGTACTGCACCCTGAATTTTTTTGTCACAAGAGCATTTTTGTTGTCTTTAGAAATGTTGATATTAATATACTGTATTAACTCATTAGAAGTGAATTATTTCTAGAAATCATCTGCAAGCTTCACTTAAAAACAAATGCTTGAGGTCCTATTGGCAACACCTAAAACGATGTTAAAGTTAGTATCTACTGGACTGATTTCAAATATGAATAGTTCAAAATGTTTCCTGTTACTGTTTGTTTACTGATATCACATTGACTGTGTCAATCGATATTTCACTTTACCAATGAGTCACTAAACTCGGACAAAAAGCCACTAAATGAACACAGTTGATTTCAGACACACTAGCAGGTGTTTTTGTGTTGTGTTCATTTTTGCACTCAAAAACATCTGTACGATGTACCCTTCCTTTTAATCCACACAATTAGCTGTGAAAATGCGGCAGACAAAAGAGCAGACTTCTTTGTGAAGCGTTGCACAACTCGTGTGAAAAACACCTACAGCTCCAGGAGGCTTGGCACTTGTTGTCTTGGTCGTCTTTGTTCCAGGCCTGGCTCCGCTCTTGAAAGTTTTGCTGAAAGAATGTGGCGGCCCATGCTTGAAGCCCTGACCCGCCCTAAAGGAGGACGGATGTCGGCTGATGTCATCATGTGGACGCTTCACACCACAGCGAGCGTAACCCCCTGATCATGAATTAGAGGGAGAAGGACAGGGTTCAAATAATTCATTTTACAATGAAATGAAAAACGATTAAAGGTGGGGTAGGTAATTTTGGAGAAACCGGCTCGAGATCGCTAGAATTTGAAAATACACAACCGGAGAAAATCTGCCACTTCCTTATAGAGCCCCTCCTCCAACACACACGAACGCGCACATGACCAATGAGGGCACGAGATAAGTTTGTGCACAGATGGAAGGCTGACAGGCAGGTAGGCCATCCAGTTATTTTAGCCGGGCCGGCTAAAATGATTGGTCGTGCTTTTTACAGTAGTACTGCTTCCACAGATGACATTTATGGATGTATTTTTTGTCAAAGCACTTAAAATATTCATTGCTATCGGGATGTTAAGAGCATTCCATGGAATATAACAAAAAGTGTATCTCGAGCCGGTTTCTCAAACTTACCTACCCTACCTTTAATTTCCTGCATATGAAAAGATAAAGAAAGCAAATGGTTGATCGTTTAAAGCTTTTGTGAACAGTTTCTCTGGGGTTTTCTAATCTGGGATGTAAGCCTGTGTTGTTCTACATTTATTTATAGAAAACGGCAACTACTTTGCCCAATATTATAATGTATATAGTGTTGTATATATTCTACCTCATTATTCTATATTTTTAGAAGTATACTCTATAAGAGACCAGTTGGTCTCTTATAGAGTATTTACTGGCATTGATCCGGACCAGTGACCTTGTATAAAATTCACAAGTGGACCTTTAATAAAAAAGTTTGAGTACCCCTGCTATACCCTTGGGGTATATGAGGGGATTGCAGGGGGTACGAGGGCGCCTGGTCGCCCACAGGGTGCGTTCTAAAAATAGCACTAGTCATCTCTAAATAAATAAATAATTAAATAACTTTTGTCTTACATGAATACAGAAAATGACAATGTTTGTTTTTAAATGTGACGGACAAAAGTGACACTGCAGCGGGAAAATACTCTCTCATCTGCTCCGGTTCGGAACCGTTTCCAACATTTCGATTCCATCGGCATCGTTTAGAAATGTTAGTTTCGGTTCTGCTTATCGATTCCTAAGGAAATGCATCTCGCCGCTTTCTGTACTGTTAGACGGGGGCGGGGCGTGTAGCGAGCACAGTGGCAGGTTTGGGAAGCAAAACTCGGTTCAGAGTAAGAACAAATAACAATTGTCCGGTACCCGGATTTATAAGAGTTGTGAGGACAGGAGGACCGCAGCTCTCTCTGCTCCGGATCAGCTGATTGCTGCACGGTGCAGCTCTCTCTCTCTGCTCCGGATCAGCTGATTGCTGCACGGTGCAGCTCTGCCTCTCTCTCAGCCCGCCATTTCCTCTATGAAGTAAAGCAGCCTCCCTGTCTGTGTCCTCGCGCTGTCCTCACATCCCCGGACTGTGAGACAGACTCAGCGGAGCACAGGGATGTCAGTATTGTTTATGAAGCAGGGTATAGAAAATACATTATTGAAATGAAAATACAATGTATGTACTTTTACAAACTGTGAGTAGCTGGGCAGCTGCAGCATGTGTATTGCAGGACATGTGTTGGACACACAGACTGTGTGGTTGGACTCTGTCTCATAGGCAGGTTGCAGTGTAACATCAGAGGAGACTGGGCTAATTGAACATTCTCAAACTGCACCACTTAGAACTAACTAAACAATTCAGAGATTATTATAAATATAATTGTATTCAATAACCGCAACAAAATGAAACAGTATTAAGTGATATGTAAATAGGAATACAGATATGACTTAATGTTTTCATAAATATATTTTTCTGCCAGTGAAAATGGCATGGGACTTATTTTTACCCTCTCAAAGAACCGGAATCGAGAACCGAAAAGAACTGGAATCGAAAAGCAGAACCGGAAGGAAAGGAGGAGAACAACAAAGTGTAAAAAAGTCAAACAAATCTGCATTATTGCCCCAAGCTCTGCTGTCTGCCCGTTTGTGTCCCCCCCCAGTTTCAAATTTGTTTATTATTATTTTTTAACCTCAAGCTGTTATCGTCACGGAGGAGAAGGACACACACAGCCTGCCCAGGTGGACGTGCGCGTACGCGACAACGAACGTAGCGTGCACATTCTAAAAATAGCTCACAGATGGTGAGCAGGTACCACGGTTTTGAACTACAGTATTGAATTTGACAGAAAACACTAATGAGTTGGGTGAAAAAAAAGACAGGAGATGTGAGTTGGTTTATTCAGTAAATTAGCTCAGGATAATTGGATGTTCTTGCACCTGTTGATGTGAGGCTAATGCAGGATTTGCTAGCTTGATGCTACCGGCATTTAGCGGCAGTGACTCAACAAATTGCCTCTTAAAATGCATCGTCAGCAATGTATGACAAGCAGACTGCTTGTTTAATGTTAGACTCACACCAATAGCTCAATATGATCAGAACACGATTGCTTTCATATCAGAGATCAGATGAGGTGGAGCTGCCTCCAGCAATAGAGGATGAGGCAGAGAGAAGCAGCAGCAGCCGTTGGGGGGGTACCCAAGCAGCACCCTGCCAAGGCAGTAAACCTAGGGGAAACACTGTCTTTCTACTGTTGATATGTGTATATTTATTGTTTGTTTATTTTGTATTTTTTTATATTGTTATATTTTAACTCATTTTTGTTAACATGCTGCTGTGACAAAACGCTTTTTCAATTTTGGAAAAATAAAGTTGATCTAATTTAAACAGGTTGAATGAAGCCAGGATATGTTTATACATTTTCAAACAAATAAATAGTTGTCTCCAAATCTTGCAGTCATTACCTGATGCCTCCCTGTCTCTCCTTTCAGGCCGGTTCTCTCTGAAGAAAGGGGGGACTTGGTTTGATCGAGTGGGGCTGCGAGAGCCGGGTCGATAGCTGTGCTCTAAGGAGAGCAAAAGAACATGGTTGAGTCCCTCATCCCAGTCATATGTTACCGAGTCTAAAGCAATCCATATGTCCAATAATGATTGTGCTAACCTAAACAATTAAATCAGTATTTTTATTCAAACACAGCTATGTATGAATGTACCTTTAGTAGTAAGGTTTAAAGGGGACCTATCATGCAAAATGCACTTTTGTACGTCTTTTATACATGAATACGTGTCGGTGTTCCAGGGAACTCACCAAGTGTCAGAAAACACAACCCTCTCTATTTTCCTCCATACCCAAATCTCTAAAAAAGGGGCTGCAACGGATCTGATCAAAACTGATCCAGATTTGAACACTGTCCTGACGTCAGGACAGTGGCGCTACGGCTATTGGGCCAACTCCACCAATCAGGAGGAGACAACCACGGCATTGCCGTTCGAAAGCGCTGTAGACGCTGTAGTACATATGCCAGGCCTCTAGATGGTGCTGTTGCTCACAGAATCAACCCTTGCTAAAAACAGATCTAAAAAATGTCAAATTGAGCAAAATGAGGCATGGCTAAAATGCATGATCTGTTTGGTATTTTGAAGAAAAAAAAAGTATAAATATGCCTTATATAGGTATGGTCCTACACTATATTATTCAAATATAGCATGATAGGTCCACTTTAAAGTAAACAAAGGATACTAAATTAGAGAGAAAAGCCAATTTCAATACATTTCTAAATCCTAAAATCCTAAATTGATATTTAATATAAAATCTTCATGACATGTTATTAACATTATTGGAATTCTTGCAGTAAGTTTGACATGTCCCCAATTTGTTGAGTCACTCTCTTGCAGACAGTCTACCTGTGTAGGGTTGGTGTCGAGGCTGGTGAGGCGAGTACGGCCTGGTGTGCGGCCTATGGGGCCCGGGCCTGCGTCTGCCAGCAGGAGGAGAACCAGAGAGGGACCGAGGCACAGAGTGGGATGGAGAGCTGCCCTGTTGTCCGCCCCTAATGGATCAAAGAAAACATTCATCAAGTGGAGGAACTGGTGAAGGCATCTAAACTGTTGTTAATACAATTTGCATATTAAAGTGCACACATGTAGAACTATGAGTTAGCGAGCAAAATAATGATGGGAAAGAAAAATGTAGGAAGCATGATATTTTAGGTTCTAAAACATGAAAATAACTATACTTCACTTACAGCCCATTTATTCACAAGAAATGTAAAACAATTACTACTTTTTGGAAATGGATAACGAAATGATGTGTGTCAATTTGCCATTTTGTTAAATGTGTGGGACTGACTCACAGCTAAAAACGGATTAGGGGAAAACAGTAAGAACAAGAGGCGAACGCACCGGGGGTGGAGGTGGGGGGCAGGCAGGGGACCGACGCACACACACACACCACACACACACACACAATACCACACACTACACAACCACACACACACACACACACACACACACAACAAACACACACACACACACACACACACCACATCACACACCACACACACACACACTAACACACACAACACACACACACACACCCACAACACACACACACACACTACACATACACACACACACACACACACACACACACACACACCACACACACCACACAACACACACACACACACACACACACACACACACCACACAACACACACACACACACACACCACACACACACACACACACACACACACACACACACACACACACACACACACACACACACACACACACACACACACACACACACACACACACACACACACACACACACACACACACACACACACACACACTTTAATCCTTTTCTTTTCTGTTTTGATTGTACAGCCTGCACATCAGTTGTATTTTTGACACTCACTCCCCTTAAAAAAATCCCCAGCCAGAGAGCTGGGGGAAATGTAGACCTTAGAAAGCTTAAGACCGAGGAATTTTCTATCAGGGTACAGTGGACTAAACCAGCAAAAGGTACACCTTATAAACACAACTTCACACAAAAATGAATACTGAATACTACAGAGGATTATAAATGTATGCCAGCTGCACATTTATAGGAAGTACATTTTAAAGACAGTTTTGGCCAATGGCTAGGTTGCAGCGGAGAAGGAAAGGTAGTGCGATGCATACAGTATGTGCTACTGTAATTGCGAGGCTTTACTTAGTGGCATTAATGTGAACTTATGGCTCAACATGATAACATTTAAAAATGATTCCCTCAGCTGAGTATAGGTACCACTTATAGATTGACTATAAAGCCAGGTTATTTTCAAAGGATCTAGTTAGTGCTAATTTCAAGCCTAAACTCTGAACCTGGTCCAGGGCCATCTTGGTAAAACAGAAAACGCTTGGTGTTGGGTCAACATGCCTCCTAACCGACTAATTCGTAGTACACCCTTCTGGATGTGAAAGAAGACCATTTAACCAAAAGCATTAATAGCATCTCTGGGTTGTGTTTCCCATATTTTGTTTCATTCTCTTTAGAAATAAATGTTTAATGTTGACACGTTTTTTTCTGAGTAGCTACAGCATAATAGTGAATATATACTGATGAATTTAAGACTTTAGCAGAACATTAGTAGTGCCCTCACTTGTTGAGCAGGTCTCTGCAGGCAGCAGTGTGGTTGACGGTGTTTATATGGTAAAACCAGTCCTGCAGAAAAACGACAAATGGGAGAAGAATATATCACAATCTGACACCAACATAAATATTCAGCAACAAAACCATTATCACAATTCACAGGTATAAAGTTAAACAAAATGAGTAAGCAACCGTTTAACCAGGCCATCTACATTGAAATAATTAGTAGTATAAATAGTAAGTACAGAGACAGAAGCATGATTGGATCTTTGTCTTCCTTTAGTTTCAATAACTAATTATTGTTTTGCATTTCTGTTTCGCATAAATATAGTCCTGTAAGACATATTCTGCATTCTACTTTCCATTATCTTCACTGTGACCATAAGTTTACCCCATTAACACACTACACTAGCAGAAACAAACTAATTGTTTTTAATCTTCTTGGACCAAATGCTGTTCGGTTAACTTATTATGTCCCAAGTAATGACCACAAATCAAACAAATTATTCAACAAATGATTACCTTATGATCTGTTCATCCACCAATCTGTTACCTATGCTATATGGAATTCAAGACAGCCAAGTACAAAAAAAAGAAAGAAATCCCTATCTTTAACCAGTTTACTTCTTTACTTTCTCCAGAGGCGCATTATATAGAATTGATCAATCAATTTTAGGGCATGTGTCCACATAGCGCCTCTACTGGCAGGAAATAGCTGGCAGGGTGCTCAGTCTGTCAGCCTAGAACGGGGAGCGTGCATCCTTGCACGCTGGTAAAAGTTCAACACCCACAGATGGGCTTTTCTGTCTTTGTTTGAGGGTTTCTGTCTGAAAGACACACCGAAAACAAGCCTCTCCTCCTATTTCTACAGTGACGTCACTGCACTTATCTGAGAGTGAAAATATTTCCAACTCAAAGCTCCTGAAGTGGCCACACAAAAATAGCGGAGTGCTCCGAAAAAAGTTTCTGGGTTGAGTGCTTCTTCACAAGGCGGCTGCATGCGAGGGCATGTGCTCTGTTCTGATTTGAATCAATTCGAAAAAGCTCAGAAAAGGCGCTATGATGGCACAGGCCTTAAGCGACCAACTATTCATTAGGGTAGAATGCTTATTATTTTTGATAATGACATTTTTGTAGATGCGAGGGAAACTGTTAGACCAATAGATTCAGGAAATGAGGCTGACATAAATGGCAGTTAAATTGGTTCCACATGTACTGGACGGTTTTAAATGTCACCCTTGGCATTATATAATAAGATAGTCCCACTCACCTACAAGTAATTACTGAAGGAACGTAAAGGAAAAAAAAAAAAAAAGTTATTTCTCCTTATTGTCAAACCAACACCATTTGAGAACATGATAAACCAGAGCACTGGACTTTCTCAGAGAAAAACTGAAATCTCTGTTGAATAAAGGAAATATATTAGTCTTATATAAAGTTTAAACCAACTTTTGTGAGTTTAGTGTTAACAAATGTTCTTAATGGAACAATTCAATAATTGTTCCACCAAAAACAAGAGACATGAGAAGATTGTATTTAGTGTTTTTATCAGCAAATAGCAGTGCTGCATCGGAACTCACTTCAGCCCTCACTATATCTACCAGGCATGATGGTGGTCAAATGCAGTCACCACAATGTAGGGTATAAATAGTTTGTATTGATTATTCAAAACAAAAGGTTTGCTTCTACAAGCTAGGTGGGTCATTATAGCAACAGTTCCCAACTATTTCAGTGGAAAAAAAACATGTAAAACACAACTTAAATGATAACATAATCACGGTCATCTCTAACGGCCTGGTGAAATATAGGATAAAAGCTAACATACAAATCTGAGGGTTTTCCTTTCAGAAATCATTACGAGGGCATTTTTGGCACTCACCTTTTCCTGATCACACTGAGTGCGGCACAGGGAGCAGGTATGGGGATACACCTTTGGAGACACAGCTGAGAAATCACTTATCATGCTGGGAGTAGGTAACTTCTTGCTGCTGCTGTGAGGTTGGGAGCCAGATGAAGAGGAGAGAGACCGCCTCGAGGAAGCTTCGTTCTTGGTTTCAGGTGAGGGCCTAGGTTTGGGTCCTTCACGCCTGTAGTCTTGGTTTAGATTACGAGATTTGGATGATGGTGTAAATCCTCCCCCTGATGCTCGATTGCTCTTGCGATGGTCGCTATCTGCCCTGCGATAGTCCCGGTCTCCGTGCTTGCTTGATTCACTGTGTTCCAAACGAACCTGTCGCTTTTCAGTTTTTTCTAATTTTGGAGCCGATGAGGCTGATGAAGATGGGAACATTTTAACTGTCCTTTCGCTGGAGAGCGGCTCTCTTTTAAAAGTTTCTCTGGTATTATTCTCCTCCTTTGCCCGACTTGCATGACCATAGTCGATGACTTTACCTGCTGTCTGTGTAACAGTCAACAGACTGGGCACTTCCGGTGAGCGTGAACGCGCTAATTTTGAAGAGTTGGAAGCAGACGGATCATGGATCCCACGTGAGAACGCAGAGGAGGTTGTGGGAGCCACAGTCTTCTGGGTGCCTGACTTGTTGATCTGGATGTCACGGAGTATGAATGGTAAAGTATCTGGGGTAAGCTGATCATCTGGGTAGTGACTCAGCACTTCCAAGTCCTCATTAGAAAGTCCAAAGCTAGCCAAGATGCTTCCTGCACTCTCAGGCGTGTACAAAGCCTGACCATCTCCACCGCCACCACTCCTGCCACCATGGGGATGTCGCGCTGTGGATGAAGCAGAGTCAGTGGTAGTCCAGTTTGGCATGCTTGTTCCAGCATGGCTGCTCTGTGGCTGCTGTTGAGGCCCCTGGTGTCGCTGGGACTGGTGGCTATTACTAGGTGGAGGACTGGCAAACAGTTTAGATGGAGGTTGGTAGTTTGACCAGTCTACTCCTTGCTGATGGTCAGGCTGATTATCAGGGGTAGGTGTTATTTGGTTGGAGCCGTAGCTTCCATGTTGGCCGATACCAGAACCTGAGCCTTGGTTCTGTCGGTTTGTGTGGTCAATGAGGCGGTGGTCCATGTCCCTAGCACCCCGGATAGCCAGGGCAGACTCTAGCTCCGCAGGGAGCTGGGTGGGACGAGGAAACTGGAAACCCATGGACAACATATTGGAGGGAGAACGATTTGCATGTGGATTTTGAGCTGGCTGATGATGGGGAGGCCTTGACCCATTAGAGAAGGGCGGTGGCCCTTGTTGCTGGTTGTGGTGGTGGTACATGGCAGAAGACGGATTCCGTTGATTTTTTCTGTAGATTTTGTTGTCAATGTCTATGTTTGCCCCAACAGCATATACCTGATGTTTATTGAGAAAGTTCAGGAGAGCCAGATGAGGAAGCAATGCTACTGACAATCCGTTGTTGTGACACTGGTTGCCAATAGTTATGGTTGCAAGAGTGGCAACCTGCTGGAGAGCAATTTGCGCCCTAGTCTCAATCTGAGCCAATCTAAGAGCAGTCACTGCAGCAGCAGCAGCAGCAGCAGCAGCAGCAGCAGCAGCAGCAGGAGCAGACGACGACGCAGGTCCAAATATGAAATGGGTCCCTCTGGTGCTGTTGGCAACGGACAATGTTGCACTGGGCTCCAAACCAAGGGCAGGAACGCGTCGGAAATTACTGTTGGTGTGCACAGCGAGGCTGTGAGGTGGAAAGCAGAGATATACTATTACAGATGAACACGATTTAATTTCTCATTTTAGAAGTAGCTTTCAGTTGAAATCCTTTTTGGCGCACTCCTTATGTTGTTTGTTGTTTTTTTGTTAAACATTTCTAAGAAATTGCACCTCGTTACTGTAGTCCTGCTGTGCTTTTCTTTCAGGACGGTAGAGCAAAGCAACATTATGCAACACTGAATTACTGAAAACCATGAAAACAAAAACACCGTTTACAGATTTAACCTTCTGGGACACAACAAGGAAACTTGTATAATACCGCTTTCGAATAAACACTTGCTAGCCTACAACACATGTTCAACACCACAACACATTTGCCTTTTTCTAATATGGTGCAGGACTCTGGAATGTTCACAGCAGAACAAACACTTTTAACAGCACATAACGCAGTTTTCCCTGCCTATTCCTGCAGCTCACATGAAATCATTGCAATGTCTACAAATTGTTATCACACTTACCATCTTCTCCAATGCATTAAAGTAAAAACGCAGATAACTATAGTGGTTTTTATTGCATTACACTAATGATAAATAATATACAAATGTTAAGCACTAACTTAACATATTGAACAGCATGTTAATAGGCTCACAATGTATTTGCAAAAAGTTTTGGTCAAAGACTATCATCAGAAATGACGGTCCATGTGGAGTAAACAATTATATTGTTCTTTTTATTACTATCCACTGTATCATATTTTCTATATACTGTACCTGAGTCCAACGTGGGCTGAGTTGTTGCTTGTTTTCATTAAACTAAGATCTACAAACTCATTTTTCACTGATTTTACTCAAAACACAGTAGGCGCGTTCACACCGCAGTACTTTTCCCACTTTAGTTCCGATATAGTTCCGAAATGTCGCGTTCACACCAAAAAGAGCCGGAACTAAAATGAGTTCATGAGAACCTTTTTACCCCCTTTTCCGTCAGTTTTCCGTCCCTGCTAGAGAGCAGGTACTTTCGTGGGAGAAAAAGGTTCCTATGTCTGATTGGCTGGGCGGAATGCAAACCACGCCCCGTAAAACTCCCAAAAGGTTTTGTGAAGCCGCCATTTTATTATCCTCGCATTAGCATTATTAGCATTAGCCCAGCGCAGAAACGCAGAGACTAACTTATGGCAACACAAAAGAAAACATGGGAGCGGTGGAGATGAGGAGGTGTCGGCGTGCTGGCAATTTACTCGGAAGGCTTCAGTAGAAGCTGCTGGGAGTCCCAGCAGCTTCTACTGAAGCCAGTCCCCAACTCCGGGGACTTCCGGACGACAGTATACGCCGTGAAGTTGTTTGCGGCCTGCCAGTAAACCCAAAGCAGAAGAAGAAGTGACGTCAGCGGCTTCATTTGCCTAATCCTCCCCCAGGGACTTATTCCGGTGTGAACGCGATGAACTAAGTTCTGATGAACCTTTGTGGGAAAAGTACTGCGGTGTGAAAGCGCCTAGTGTCACTCAATTTATACTCTCATGAGAAAACAGTCAACCCTGGCATCTTGTTTAAATTCATGTTATAAGTATACTATAAGCTGGTGTGCACAATCAGTTTGGTGAAGTTCTCTGGTCAAGTCTACTCTAAGAGACCAAGCCGAGCAACCTATCATCATCTATTCGTTTTATGCTGGGCAAACTAGAGAAGCTTTTGTTGCCAATCATCTTAGAAAATATTAGGGAAGGAGGTTAAAAGGTTAAGCCAAGTACCATTTACAAACACCAATTCAAGTTGGAACGTTGTGTAAAACGTAAATAAAAACATAAAACAATGATTTGCAAATCCTTTTTTCGACTTGTATTCAATTGAATACACTACAAAGACAACATGTATAATGTTCAAACTGATAAACTTGTTTTTTTTGCAAATATTCACTCATTTTGAATTTGATGCCTGCAACACGTTCCAAAAATGCTGGGACAGGGGTCACAAAAGACTGGGAAAGTTAAGGAATGCTAAAAAAACACCTGTTTGGAATATTCCACAGGGGAATAGGTGTGTCATGCTTGGCTATAATAGAAGCATCCCCGAAAGGCTCAGTCGTTCACAAGCAAGGAACAGTTTAAGAACAACGTTTCTCAATGTAAAATTGCAAAGAATATCATCATCTACAGTCCAGAATATCATCAAAAGAGTCAGAGAATCCGAGCAAATTCTTTCTTTTAACTTCCCACAGGACTTTTAACATTAAATACAAAATATAGAAACCATTCGTGCTTTGTCAACAGAAAGATATGTGCATTAATCATGTGAATATAGGACATGTTAACTCAGTGCATTGTCTGCAACTTTCAGTTATTGCCACACAATATTTGATTATTTTTACTGCAATTTCCAAATCGCAGTAAGCACATTATTTGGTAAGGGCAAATTATGTGAAAATATCATTAAATTACAAATCCTTGTTTGGTAGAGATCATAATGAAAAATAATAATTGTGCAGCCCTACTGTCAGTAACTGGCTTCATCTCAGGTCGACTTGTTTTATTTGTAAAGTTCAGAGGTACGGTGGCCGGCAGGTGCAAACGCGGAACAGCTGCAAATAATGAAATGAAAAACAAACAAATCCTGAAAACAAATCCAACAGAAAAACGCTGCAAATACAAAAACGATATGCAAAGTCAAAAACACATACAAACCCAAAAACACACAGTGTTCCAGGCCTCTAGGGGGCGCGCTACGTGCAACAGATTGATGTCTGACTAGACATAGAGAGAACGAACGAGAGTGATGGAAATTGAAGCCGTAGGAAACAAAGTTGATTGAAGTGGGCAAAGTCGATATATAAGAAGGTACGTTTTGTTTTGTTTTTATACAAAGAGCGTCATATTTACGCAGCTAGCGTTAGCGTCCCTACAGTAACTACTACACCAGCTGAGGAGAGGAGAGCTTCACGTGAAGAGAAGATAAAGTGAGGGAAGAACATTGTTAAAAGAGATGACAAATCGAGTGCAGGTAAATAGGCGCGTTCACACCGGAGTACTTTTCCCCGTACTTTTCCCGTTTAGTTCCGTTTGTACCCCTTTTGTCGCGTTCACACCAAAAAGAGTACTTAGTGCCGGGAACCTTTACCCCCATGTTTAGTGCCTGCTAGAGAGGTGGTACTATCCTGGGGAGAAAAAAGTACCAATTTCTATTGGCTGGGCGAATTGCAAACCACGCCCCGTAAAACTCTGAAAAGTTTTGTGAAGCTGCCATTGTATTTGCTGGCATTAGCATTAGCATTATTAGCATTAGCATTAGCCCCGCGCACCAACGGAGAGAGAATAACTTATGGCAACACAAAAAAAACATGGGAGCGGTGGAGTGATGAGGAGGTGTCGGCGTTGTGGCGATTTACTCGGAAGGCTTCAGTAGAAGCTGCTGGGAGTCCCAGCAGCTTCTACTGAAGCCAGTCCCCAACTCCGGGGACTTCCGGCCGGGGACTTCGGGTGGCAGTATACGCCGTGAAGTGGTTTGCGGCCTGCCAGTAAACCCAAAGCAGAAGAAGACGAAGTGACGTCAGCGGCTCATTTGCGTAATCTTGCCTCAGGGAACTTATTCCGGTGTGAACGCGATCTGTACTTAGTGCCCTGGGGTACTAAGTGCCGGGCCACTAATGGCGCATTACCACCATGGCGCGGAGCGCGGTTTAAGCGTGCCGGCCCGTTTTTGGTTGCGTTTCCACTATGCCTAGTTCCGGCCCGGGGCTACTTTTTCTCCTTTTTTCTGGCCCGACAAAATCGTGGTTCTATCGGGGCCAACAAACAGGGCTGAGTCGGGCTGAGTTTGCTAAACTAGAGAGAGAATCGCTGGCAAGGGGGCTACAACTACAACAACATGAACATATTTGACCGTGATTGAATTGTAATACACGTTTCAAAATGATGCCGAAGTAACAACATACTGATACCAGTTAGTAAAAACCATGAATTAATGCTTTGACAAGTCTGCAGACAGACGGCAGGCGAAAAATCTTTTAAAATGCGCGTTGTCTAAATGGAGATCGGCTAAGCTAACGCAATATATGCTCCGACCGTCCACACTCACAACGGCCTATACAGACATAAATAAACCAGCGACTGTACTCGCCATGACACAGGCAGTCTGTGGTTTGTACTTGTTTAACTTTTGTCTAGTTTCTGAACAGATATGAGGAGCTGTGAGCTTGAGTGCTAACAGCTAACGGCTGTTTTTCTGGGGTGCTCATTGAAGATGACGTCACGGCTCCGCCTACACTGCGTTACTATAGATACTACCCCAGTTCCCAAACTGTAATGGAAGCGCAGCATTAAAGTGAGCTGGGCCTAACAAGGCCTAACAAAACCGTACTAAGTCGAGCGAGGCCTGCGGTGGAAATGCGCCATAAGTCCCGGCACTAAGTACGGCAAAGTACTTGGTGTGAAAGCGGCTATTAACACGGGCCATAGTGAGTACCGCGGAAACATTTGAAGAGAGAGAGAGAGAGACATTCTTAGCAGTTTGTTTATATGTATGTATTTGTATATAGATGTTGCAACTATACAGAGCTTTAGCAATACTATTATATGTAACTATGGTCGGCGGAGAAGTGATAAAATGTGAAGAGGGACAAAGTAATGACAGGAGAGTAGTTTGCATTAGACATGCTCAAGAACAAAGAAGACATTCAAAGAGAGAGAGACAAAACACAGATTCAACGGTAAACATGATGTATCTTTCTATTTATTCAGCTAACCACTATTTAGACTATGTGTTTTTGATTGACTTGATTCAATGGATTTACTACATCAATGTATGTCTTTTCAGGCCGCCATGTTTTGTCCTTTCTGTGGCCAACATCTGGGGACAGTTCAAGTGTTCTGTGGCTCCTGTGGCAAAAATGTACAGTTTTTGGCAGAAGTTGAACACAACAGTAAGTTCACTTTTTGTATTGTATCTGTTTCAAATGCAAGAAATAAGGATTCAACACACTACTCTGTTTAGAATACTAATTGCAGATGCATACACTAGTTCTCAGAATGAAGGACAAATGTTTTCATTGTCTGTTTATGTGAAATATGTAGAAGCCATCATTAAATTGTAGACCAATGCATTAAATACACAAAACAGCTTATATTATACATTAATAATTGTGTATTAGTTCTATCTTTATAGAGAAAATTATACATTTAGAATCAGATTTTGAGACAGTAAGCGGCTGGGAAAGTCACACCGCCATGGGGCATAAACAGTTGCTATGACATGATGTTTTCTTCGCATTCTCAGGCATTCCATAAGGAGGGTCAGGAACTCACGCTTGGGACCACCAGTGTCCACTCCATCCTCAGTTTGTCCCTCATCATCAGTGAACTTAACTGACATCTCATGAGAGGGGTCGAATGAGGCACGTTTGAAGCCGCGGATTGAGCTTGGCTCTATTAATATTGAACCTGCTGCAAGATGTATTTGTGAGAGAGTTCTGCAACAATTCGATCAACTTTCTTTCCTCCGGCTTCAATTTCCATCCCTCTCGTTCGTTCTCTCTATGTCTGGTCAGACATCAATCTGTTCCACGTAACGCGCTCCCTAGAGGCCTGGAGCATTGTGTGTTTTTGGGTTTGTAGCCTATGTGTTTTTGGGTTTGTATGTGTTTTTGACTTTGCATATCGTTAACCTGTTAAGCCCTGAGCCTGTTTTTCAGGTCTCAGGCTCGAAAATGACATTCCCAGAACAAATGACCATATCTTCCCTTCTAAAAGGGTTAAATTAATAATCTTTTCTCTCAAAGTAATGATAAACCTGTGAGTTGGATGTAGAAAAGTCAGAATCAATATAGATGTTTTTTATTTTAAAGAAAATTCAGATTTTACATTGTAAAAAACTGTAAATTATAGTGTCCGTCCAAAAATTCTTTTTTACTTATAGTGAAAACTACCCTTGGATGATGGTAAGGTAGACTAAAAGCTTTAGGAATCCAAAGTACAACATATAATAAGTACCCTGTATCAAGATTGATGCAAAACAAGTGACATTTGACCTTTTTAGAGAGATTTAGCAAAAAGAAACCACTTCTGGGGTCATTTGGGTGGATTTTCCATATCTCTGGCTTCCCTTGCTCGATTTCGATGGTTGACACCTATTTCTGACCGTTAGAGCCAATAGAATCGAAGGGGGAGTCCCCCACACACACTCATTGTGAAGAGAAAAGGTGGGGGCTTCGCGCATGTCATTTAGCATCAGAGTGAACCTATCTCTAGCTTTGACATCTGGAAACGGAAAAGCAGTTTTAATGCTTATGGATTCTCAGAAATCATTTCAAAGGGACACAGACACATTGGATTAACCTATGGATTAACTTCAGCAGCGTTTTTATTGTTTTAATGCCATTGAAGACTACTTTGGAGAGACTACAGAGCCAAGGTAAAAATGTTAGCATTTTTAGCTACCTAGCGTCACCTGTTTTGATGTCCGTTTTTGCTTATAACGTCGCCATTTCGTATAATGTGGGTGTCCATCGATTCTGTGTCACCTCACGATGTGAAACGATGTCATGGATGTAGAGAAGAGATAAATAATAAGGTTTTGTGAGTGATTTTCGGTGCAGTAAGGTGTTAGCATTTGTCGCTCGTTGCTAATTCAGAGGCTCAGTGTTAGCATTGTGGGTTTTCTTTTGAAAAATAAATAAAAATGATCAATTAGATGAGTTTCTTCTCGTTACATGGATATAAAACATTCATAGTTTTATTAAATGAACATGCCCTCAGACACTGTTTCCTGCAAGATGTTGCGGCAGTGCCCCGGTACCGGGGTCTCTCGGGCTTAACAGGTTAATGTATTTGCAGCGTTTTTCAATTGCGTTTGTTTTCGGGGTTTGTGTGTTGTATTTAGTTTGCATCATTTCTGTAAATGCAGCGTTTTTTTGTTGTATTTGTTTTCAGGATTTGTTTGTTTTTCATTTAATTATTTGCAGCTGTTTCCTGCTTATGTATGCATTTTTGGCCGTTGTTCCGCGTTTGCACCTGCCGGCCACCGTACCGAGGTGATATAGATGCCACAGATGGCACGAGTAGTGATTATGTTACGCACGGAAGTACATGCAAACTATAACATGGTCAACATATACATGCATGTGAATTATTTGGAGATTTCAGATATTAGTTAAAAATAAAGTTTCCGCTGCATCATATTTTCACTGTGTATTTCTCCTCCCTCTCGTCATATTAACCAGCTCAATATTCAGATAGCGCTCGTGAAGTAACGTTACATCCCGCGGGATAGATGGTTCTCAATCACGAGTACCTGGGTAACATTTGCATTATAACTATCTGTAAAAACGAACATGTAAAATGCGCACGTCTGTTTAACCTATACACACACGTTTGTTTACTGTAATGTACATGCGGTATTGTTTAGAGAAATAATAACGTAAACAGGGAAATACAGAGCCACCCGTCATAGACCACGCCAGCCATTTTGGGTGTTTTCACTAGCCGGCTAGCTAGCGTTAGCTACCAAGAGGAAAGCGTTTCAGCTCCGTGACATTTATGTCCACTCGCACCATTTCTGACCTTATCACACGTTCTATAAATACCTGTCAATGAGTCGATGTATGTGGGTCTTTGTTGGTACCGGACGGTACCGGATAGTCCAGTTCAGCGGCTTATTCGGTTTATTCACATAACTGTCTGTGTTCCACCATCGGAAACAACGAAATACACTTCCGCCCTAGTTTTTCAGAATAAAACCGTCTTCGTGACGGTGAGCCATGTTCATTGTATAATTTCCTATGTCGAAAATCATACGTAGTTATTTTTTTAAACATTAAGGTATTTTCCAAACTCCACGTCTGGAAATGGAAATGAGCAAAGGCTATGTGCACTTTAAGATCCTAGCTAATCATTGTCTTTTATGTTAGGCATTACTTAAAGAGCGTTTCCTCCAAACATTTTATGATTATGAGGAGGGGACAGAAACACCATATCAACTATATTAACAGCTCTCTTCTCCCAGATGCTGTCCTTTTATTATTATCAATTTTATGTTTTCTTTGTTATGTTCTCTGTATTTTATATGTTTGTGTTATGTGTTATGTGTAACGTTGCTGCCTTCTTGGCCAGGTCAGCATTGAAAATGAGATTTTATCTCAATGTTTTTATCTGGTTAAATAAAGGTTAAATAAAAATAAAAAATCAATTTTATGTGGAAAAAAATGATTTGAAGAGAAAATATTTCAATTGGAAATAATGCGCTTTTTAACATTTCCTACACAGCTTAACTCACGTGATTATCGACCTGTTCTCCTGAACATGGAATATTATAATCTGCTCAGAAGATGTTTAAAAAAAGACCTTTTCAAAACTATTGTATTAGCCACTGACCCCTAAAATATTGAGGAAATATAAATAACAGCGAAACCGAGGGATTTGTATGTCATGTTTGTATACAGAATAGTATTCATTTCTAAATTACTCAATACTATTTAACTGCCAGCAGTTGGGTCTATCTCAGAATCACAATAGCCTACCTTTATTCTTCCCACAGAGGGGACATTTACATTGTTACAGTACTTTAATCTTTATATTGTAAGTAAAGAGCCAAAAGTAACAAGATATTAATCAAGAGGCATGCATACCATTTTAAGGATAAAATATATAAATTACAAAAATTACAACTTTTTAAAACATACATCCAGGTGGACAACAAAAAGTACCAGTACAGTATTTAAAAAAAAGGTGTAGCATGTATAAAGAAGTGTGATAGCAGCCAGGTAACAGCAGTATTAGTGGAACTATATCATTTACAGATGTATAACTCTACCTTGTCCTCTTTTCTTATTCTGGCTGTTGATTTTTAAGCCAAGAGAGGGTATATCACTTTGGAGGGCTGTCCCAGCAGGGGCGGTTCTAGAGGGGGGGCCAGTGCCCCCCTAACACTGACTTTGGACCCCCCTGTGGCCCCCCTGAAGAAAAAAAAAAGTTTATGATTAAACTATTTCTTGGCTGACGGAATAGGCGGAACTAACGATATTTGTCATTCTAGTCGGACCCATTAGAGCAGGGGTCTCCGCATAATTCCACTGGGGACAGGGGGGACATGTCGAAATCCTGTTTCCCCCACATTACAAATATGTTTAACGCAAGCCGTCATCGCCACGGAGGAGCACACAGCCACTGTGAGCGAGTGAGACAGAGAGAGAGAGAGAGAGAGAGCGAGAGAGCTAGAGAGAGCACACAATCTATTTAATATAGTTGTAAAAAATAAAGTAAGAAATCATTCCAATGTGTAGCCTACTATAAGACAGTAAAAAAAAAAAACAGTTTAAAAGGGGAGTGATTAGTCAAATATGCATAAATAAAATGAAAGAATGCTATAGGTAACATAAGATAAGAATAAACAAGTTTAAATGATTTGTTATTGATTGTGATCATATTCTAAAGATGTTTGGATTTGAAAAGTATACAGCTCCCTTTCATATGAGTGTTGAGAGCTGTATCCATAAATTCATTTTGTGCTCAAAGTGCACCAGATTGATGCATTTAACTTCGACATTTAAAAAAAAATCTTCCCGGGGGTGCAGGCCCCCAGACCCCCCCAGAGGATGTGAGGTCCACCCCCAAATAAAGCAGGTTAAAATAATTAAATTGCATACATTTTCTTTCAGTAAATACTGAAAGCGGGTCCCACAGACCCAAACAGCACACAAAGGTTAAAGGTAAGCATATAATAATGTTAAAATGTGCTAAATATATACACTGCAAAAAACAAAAAAAAAGAGGAGTAAAAGTAGCTCACAACTTGTTTTATTTTTTGAAAGTAGCTCTCATCCTAAAAAAGGTTGGAGACCCCTGCATTAGAGTGTAAAAACTGTAACTATAAGTATCTGAAATAAATATGTGTACTGAAACAAATAACAATAACTGTATTGCATTGTTTTCTTATGCGCACTTACTTCATACTGTCTTTGTCTTTTTTGTCCTGCATTTATTGTGCCCCCCCCCAGCCTGGCCCCCCCAGTCAAATTGGTCTAGAACCGCCACTGTGTCCCGGAATAAACAGAGAAACCTTGCTGAGTGACTGGAATGGAGAATAGAGAGAGGGAAGATATAAGAGAGCATGTGATGAGCAAGCAACAGTCTAGGCATGTGACAAAGATGATACATGCACTGTGGTAAGTAATATACTCCTCAGTGCGTTCAAATTGAAAAAGCAGCTGTAGCCGGTAGAGATTATGAATCTGAACAGATGACATGCAGCCTACACCAGGGTTTAAATCTTAAATGGTTTCTGACATTTGTGGTAAATCACTAAGATCGTGACTATTATAGCACCTGAATGGAACCTCTCTTTCACTAATTGGCTGTTTGTATGGACAAAACTTGATGAAATGTCCTTAAATTAAATGCAAGAAAGAGATGGTTATATTATAGATAGTTTTTATAACCCAGTGTTATACATACTAGAGTTCAATTTAGAAGTATTGGTGTTTGAAGGAATTCAGCACATACATCAAGACAACTTTTTTAATTTAACGTTTATGTCCATACCAAATTTGAGGGACACTAGTTTCAAGAGGTTTTTATTTTATGTCAAATTAAACTTTTTAAAGGGACCTTTGGTTGTCAGGCTGACATATGATAAAGTACTTGTCAAACTTCACCACTCCACTCCCAAAACAGTTGAAATTAATGGGGCAAATTGTTGTAGAGATATAATAAACTGGTTTAGAGGTGTGTTTTCTTACACCATCATGCACACTCATCCCTAAATGTGCTGTCAATAACTTGTTAGTGCATGCAACATAAATAACAGTCCTTAAGGACTTATTAAATCATTAGCCGCGTTCACACCGGAGTACTTTTCACCGTACTTTTCGCGTTTAGTTCCGTTAGTACCCCTTATGTCGCGTTCACACCAAAAATCGTACTTAATCTCGGGAACTTTTACCCCCATTTTTAGAGCCTGCTGAGAGATCGTACTTTCCTGTGGGTGAAAAGTGCCCCAAAAGTGCCCCAGTGCTGATTGGCTGGGCGAATTGCAAACCACGCCCGTACAACTGTGAAAATGTTGTGTGGAGCAGCCATTGTTTTTCCTCGCTACAAAAACAGTTATGGCAAGCATCAAGAAATGATGAGGAGGTGTCGGCGCTTCTGGAGATCTACGCCGAGGACGCGACCCAGGGAATGCTACTGAAGCCAGTTCAGTAGCTTTCACTCGACCTGGGAATGTGCACAGCCCCACCGGCTCAAAATAAAGAAACTCAGGCAGGACTACAAACGGCGGATTCAGTGGCCAACGATGACTACCACGACGAAGGTAAAATCAGCTACATGCACTGGGGTTTTAATCTGCACAATAATGGTCTCAGATGTACTTTTATTTGCTCAGTAGATCAAGCTAGCCATGCTAGGCTGAATAGGCTAACACCGGCCCCGAGCTAGCTACATCTAGCTAGCTAGATATTCTCGGCCGCTATGAAAACGTTTTGACTTGTGAATAACTGTGCAGTGTTTCTGTAATTTGCTTCACTAACTCATGGCACTAATCGTCTGTTTCAGGCGAGGATGGACAACTCTCGGGATTGGAAACAAGCGAGCTTTGCATTCTAGATCACAGCGCTTGGTCGTCCTCCTTACCAGCAACCAAACGCAAAGGTACACACACTGTAACTTTGTCTTGAAAGAACGTTACGCATCGAACTGATGTTCACAATCATGTTTATTTCCTTCTTGGTACAATTATGAAACAGCGTGAAAACGTATTCGCCTAGACCGGCATTTACGTTCGCGCCTTTTTACTCTCTCACAAACATTGTAAACATCCGGGCTAGAGGTCACATGACTTCCGGTAAGAAAACTTGCCTCAACAACATTAAACAAAGTTCAAGCATACATGAAGCACTCTTCAAAAAGGAACAATCCTCCGTGTTTGAACCTCTTAAATCGCTGCATAGCCGATTTATTTGGACTGGATTATCCCAGAGAGGCCAAACATTCTTTATAACACAGTTTCAGATTTGTGAAACCTTAATTCTATTTGTGAAAATACAAAAAAGGGAGATTTCAGTGCTTTTTTTACATGTAGACCACATTAGACCAGGTCCTGATCTAAAACCACTATACCTAGACTCATCAAATCTGGACTGGATTATCCCAGAGAGTCAAAAGATTCTTTATAACACAGTTTCAGATTTGTGAAACCTTAATTCTATTTGTGAAAATACAAAAAACACATTCCTAGTATGTTGTAAAACTACATGGCGACTAAACAGATCTTGTATCTTGCTTATTTTCCCCTCTTAGGAAAGCGGACACGGGATGCGAATTTCTTTGACACCGCCCAGGCGTTGGAGGACCGGCGTGCCGTGGTGAATGAGTCGCTGCGTGGAGATCAGATGGTGCTGTTCACCAAGGCCCAGGAAACGGAGGACAAGATGCTCACCTCGATGGAGCGCCAGGCAGAAGTGTTCAAGCAGCAGATGGAGCGCCAGCAGCACCAGGATGAAGTGTGGGCGCTGCGCCATGAGGAAGCGTCGGCGCAGCGCCAGGAGCGGCAGGATGAGCGACAAACTGCATTTAATAACAGTTTATTTGGTATAGTTTTTGTAAATACTGACACACGACATACAACTTTGCACTAAGGTGTGTATGCTGCTGAGAATATCCCTACACCTGGGACAGTTTATTTTATATTGTTATTACTGTTATGACTTTATTTTAT